TAGGATATTACTTTACAAATCTGCTGAAATAACAACTTTTCCAATTTTCCATAAAACAACTTAAGAAAAATGTGCAAATGTTAATTTTATCACTGTATTTATGAAATAAACGTTTTTCTCAAACCCAGTCGTCATAATCGATTACCACTTGTTTGCACATCGTTCTGCTTGAACCTGAATAGATATAAAACAGCGCTGCTGTCGTGCATCTGCTCATTACCGCTCCGGACGGCAAGGCACTGGGTCCTGCAGCAAGCAGGAGAAGGTCAGCGATTAATGTGGTGTTTACATTTATGCGGATTTCCTAGCGCTATTGTACTAGCACTGACACATTGAATGTTTTGCTTTGAAATCGCAAGCATAAATCGATTTGTGGATGACGCGGGAAGTGGCGGGTGTGCGAAGTTTTGGTATTTTGTGTCATATGGATAATAAAAGTCCAGTGGTGTATAATGCCCTCAAAGGCACACTAGAAACCTAGCCTTTCGTGATGTGAAAATCAACGGTCTATCAGCGACCGGAAAGAATTGGAACCGGTGAGGAACATTATAGGGGACTGACTATAGAGAATTATGAATAAACTTCTGTAGTTTGTTTTGTGTGATTTGCAGCATTATTCGAATTAAGGATACTAATGGGGTATGATTAACTGCCTTTATCTTTTGAGCCCACTCTAGAACCTACATTTGTATTTAGATCTACTGGTCTGAGTTCCTCTGGTATATTCAATTAGAGGATGTTCCTGAATATACAGTCAAACAACATGTAATGTTGTGATTAACTTCAATGACAGTTGTCCAGCAGTGTTCCCATTTTATTTACAACAATCCAATGCGTACAAGATTGGGCCGAAGGATTTCCAAAGGTGTACCGATCGATGTACCCAAGCTGTGCCGAATTTAATTTCGGCACAATGTGCTGAATGACTTGCCCCTTGACGGATGTTAATCTAATTGCATATATAGAGGTTTTACAGTCAGTTAGATGCGAAGGATCGTCAGGCAGACGGACAATCCAAGACCACTGCAGAGAGAGTTCGGTATTCTCAAGCCAACATGAAAGCAGTCAGAGGTAATGCGTAACCATCTACTGATTGGGTCGCTGGAGAAGGCAGAGTAATGAATTTTTGTTGGACCTATCCAAAAATGATTCATGTTGGACCTATGTTTACCGGCGCTAATTTTGTGCAAGAAAGTCTAAGAAACTTTTTCTACAAGCTTCTACAACATCTTCTAAAAGCTCATAACTATAAAGAAAAATATGTGTTTTAATGATTAACATAATTTCGGTTTTATTCTGTTTTCAAAAATAGTTCACTTTTAACTAATTTTCTCATCAACATGGCTCACTTTAGAACGTCCACAGGAGGAATGTTTACTTACATTTTTCAAAGTTTTTGTGCAGAATAATACTACTAAAAGATGTAAACTTCATACATTAATGTTATTCAAAAGTTTGAATATTTGACAAAATTCCTCATTTATATTTGTTGGATCTAGTTGTTTCCACCATTGGCCGTCAGGTGTGCTTCGGTTTAATATCTCATGTGATTAGAGGTATCGTTTCAACTTACCTCGGTGTACCTAAACTATGATTCTTACCATCAAAACATTGTACAGATGGAGAACCTGTATACGAGCTTTTGTTCTGACTTTGAAATACAGTAACTGAATCTCGCTAATTTTCAATTAATGTTTTACTAAGCACCTACTTATTGGAAACCATACGTTTGAGTTGAGAAAAGTCACAGTAATCTATTTTGTATCATTCTACAAACACACTACATAATGATGATGCATGATAATTTTATGTACGGGTTGTCCTCCAAATTGGATAATAAAGAGATGTTTAAACCCCGTATGATCGTTATACCCCTTTCTCCCCTACTTCTCTGATATAAGAACCAACATTTTGTTCAATATTGAAAGTACCGTCTTCTGATAAGAAAAACAACTGCCTGTTGCGTTATCATAAAATGCAACCTTCACTCTCTTCTTTACTCCAAAGATCTAATTTAAAACTAATGATGGAGCTACTGAAAAAAATTAACGTATTTTTTGGCAATTTTTTTATTCTACAACATGCATAGCGTCTTTGTGGACTATACTGGGGCACTACTCCAAAATATATAACGGCTTGTTGAGGACCCCACAGTTGAATTTTCATAATTTATTACATTCCAGGAAAAATACTTGAACCAGCTTTGAACCATAACCGAAACATTGAAATACTTGAAAACTTAAAAAAAAAACTAGAAGGGTCTGTGCCTAGGGGCACGAACGGAAGCTTGACGTAGGACCGCTAGTGGACGCAATAAATGTGAAGAGCATTTAGTTCTTTTAATTGATCAATTATATATTATCTCAACTCTTTCCGTTTTTGAATTGTACGCGTACCAAATTTGTAGTAATCTTTTTCAAAGAGAAAGTTGATTAAGAGAATCAATCAAAATCACTTGCACCCCTGCTTCCAAGTTTGGTTACAAGATTACAACTCTGGAGAGCATTTTGTGTGGTCGTTGGGGGCTTGTGGTTCTGAATATGGACAAACAAGCACAGATAAATTCTGTTCCAACTCTTTACTGATGTAAGCTTGATGGCCCTGAAAAGGGCCGTTTTATTGAAGAGGACATCCATGGCCACTTACGCTTGGCGTGTTTAGTGTAGGTGACAGCATCACGGACCTCATTCTCCAGGAACACCTTCAGCACACCTCGTAGATCAGACCGGAGATACGTTTGACACCACCACGGCGAGCCAGACGACCGATGGCGGTTATCTCGAAGAACTTTGCGATGACGCTTGGCGCCTCTTTTACCAGACCTTTTCCTCCTTTGCCACGACCAGTCACAGTCAATTGTTGCTTGTTGCTTGACTAGCCACCACCTTCCTACTGCTGTTATTGCTGTTCCGAAGCGAAAATGAGCTAATGCCATACAGCAGCGCTCTTTTATATCTTTTCAGGTTAAAGCAGAATGATGTGCAACCAAGTGGTATAAAAGCTACAAAGACTCCTCCCATTATGAGTAGTTTGCTAACAAGTAGCGACACTGGCTCTTTTCCTTTTGCGTACACGGCGAATGAGAGCGACTCAAATTTTAATTTAGTTCACTCATAATCGCCAAAAGCGCAGGAACTCAGCGATGAGTAAATTTGTCTCATGGTTTCCTGTGGAAAACCTAAAAAATCTGCCAGAAAATGAGGAAATTGACGAAAATTTTATTCAGTCTCGGAGTAGTACCAATAGACTGAGTGAATCCAGTCTTTACTTCTCAAATTCGGGAATTTTTCCCTGGAAAATCCTGGAAAAACCTGGGAAAACATGGAGCAAATTTACTCATCGCTGAGTTCCTGCACTTTATTTCTTATTACTGAGATAACTAAACTCAAATTTGGGTCGTTCTCATTCGCCGTGATATCACCTTGAAAGATATCGGCGCCGGTGGTTAGCGTGATTACCTCTCACCACAGCAGGCCTGGGTTCAATCTCAGTTGGCGCCACCGGCATGTTCTAATGCATAACATCTCTGATCACGCCTTCCTTCGGGAAGTAAAGCCGTTGGTCCCGGTTGAGTTGATGGGTCGATTGGTAGGGTCCAGGTGTGGGAGTTGCCTCCCTGGCGTCGGTAGCATTGGAGCTCAGTATGGAAAACAAATCTCGCGTGACTTTTCAATAGGCCCTATCTACATTAATCGATTCTCTTCATAGACCCTCTCTTTCGTAAATAACTCGGCTTCACAAATGTTTCCTGCCGTCTTCGTCGAGTTAGATGCTAGATTGTTGCTTCTTCCATCGAAAATATCCGGCCGTGGCGATTCAAATTTGATCAAGGTTGATCAAAATAACTTGTACTTGCTTCCAGTTTGATTACATGAGCATTTTGTGTGATCGTTGGTTCTGAATATGGACAAACAGGCAGATGAATTCTATTCCTACTCTTTACTGTAATAAGATTGGTGGCCGTTTTGTTGCCAAAGTTGGTGATGATTTAATCTCCGAAACCAAACAGAGTGCGTCTCTGTCATTTCAAAACGTAAATGACATCCATGGCCGCTTAGGCTTGGCGTGTTTAGTGTAGGTGACAGCATCACGGATCTCATTTTTCAGGAACACCTTCAGCACACCTCGTAAATCAGACCCGAGATACGTAAGCACCGCCACGGCGAGCCAGACGACGGATGGTGGTTATCTTGAAGAATTTGCGTTTGGTTCTGAATATGGCGATGAGTGTGCAAAATATTACGCAATTCCATCCTCCCTATTCGCATGCGCCTGAGGATCGGAGGCGAACGCCACTTCAACTTGTTTCGTCTACTTACTACTCTCTGACGACTGTGCTTGGGAAGCAGTATATGCATGAAGGTAATTGGTGGATTTGTTAGTTAATTCGACGCTTTTGGACAATGCTGGACATTTACCAGTTTTTCAATAGTTTCTTGTTGAAAATCAACATTCAGAAGCATTTTTATCGATGCGTAGCCACATTTCTGATCGATGGGTGTTAAATTATTGAAATTGGACCAGGGGCAGCTGAGTTATTAACGTTCGAAATCTTTCTTAATTTGTTACATGTTCCATTTTCGGTTTTCACAAAGTGTACCCCCATATAGAAATCAAAGACGTAGTCCTACGTCAAAAGTATAATGGTCAAAAATGCATGACATACATCAATTTTGCGAAGTTCTACGTCATACTGCAGTCGTGTCTAGGATAGAACCTTTTATTTTTTTTTTCAAACGCCAGCATCTTTGCATACTAGGCAACAGGCGATAAACAAATATGAGTCGGTTATGTCTCAAATGTGAAGGTCATTTTGATCCTCTGATGAAAATCTGCAGAGATGGAGGCGATTGATGGATGTTCCAGAAATTGTACAAAATCAACCACAACCAAGCGCAAGTTAATTTAGAAGAAAATATCAAGATGAAACAGCTTTCGTTGAAATTAAATTATTAATCAAGCTTTCTATTAATAACCACCATTATCTTCCTTTCTTGCAGGTTAGCAGCGGCTCAAGAGGCGGAGCTTCCTGATAAGGACGGGAAGCAAATGGGTCCGAAGAAGGGAAAAAAGGGCAGTAGTCCGAGGCATCGAACGGGTCCGCCTCCACCCGGACCGTCATCGCTGTTCATTTTTGCAGAGGATAATTTCATTAGGAGGTAAAGTGGACCTGCTTTTGAAAGTTTTAATCCTAAAGAATACAACCACCTGCCAACCCGTTTCAGAGCAACGAAATTCATCATAGAATGGCCGCCTTTCGAGTACGCCGTACTGTTGACAATCATCGCAAACTGTGTCGTGCTGGCGCTGGAGGAACATCTGCCCCACGGAGACAAAACGGTGCTGGCCCAGAAGCTGGAACTGACCGAGAGCTACTTCCTGTGCATCTTCACGGTCGAGGCCGCACTCAAAATTGTCGCCCTCGGGCTGGTGCTGCATACCGATTCCTACCTGCGCAACATCTGGAACATGATGGATTTTTTTGTGGTGTTCACGGGGTAAGGATGTGCATGTTTTCGGAAAATGTGTGTGTATTTCGGAAAAAACAGAGGTCCTATAAATATGTGAATATTTAGCGAAAGCGAGAGAGAGAGAAAGAGGGGTGCCTCTTATCTATTAGGAAGCTAGATTCCCGTTAGACCCAGAGAGCAACGGATTCCAGTACAACGGGCTAGCCGCAAGTGTTCGATAGGAGTAGAGTTTTATGCATGTAGACTTCATTGGAACTTTGCTAGAGTAGAGGAAAGTTTAATTCAAAAGTTGAAAACCGATTCATATCCAAGGTAAGGTACAACAGCTTTCGATGGATCTGATATTTTACCGAACATCTAGAGCTTTGACCAACATAAGAATTGTACATCTGTTTTGAGTCGATTGCCGTTTCAATCCGATTGAGTGCATGTTTTATTGGACACTCACTGGTTTTTGGCATCGAATTTAATCTAGTGGAAACTGCGGTCAGTTTGGATTTGGATCATAGAACAAGCTAGAAATATTGGTATGTTTTTAAACTTAAGAATGTACATTTTTATATTCGCAAAGCTCAAACTAGATGTTTCGGAAAGAAATGAAGATTCCCTGAAGAAGACTCCATAGAGGGTAGGAAGAAAAGGATGGAAATATGATTTCGTATCTCTCAATACTAGAGAAAGCCGTTGAACATTACCTCAATATCGAAGTAGTCGACCGATGGACCGAGATTCATATTAACAGTAAACATTTTAAATTATTGTTGTATTCACCTTTGATGTGTTAACTGCAACTTTAATCCTTTTTAATCATTAATTTTGTAATAGCTTCTTCAAAACGGCTGAAAACGATATTTACCATTCCCCCTTTCTATCAAACATCAGCATTATTATAAAAATGGCGCATAAAGATTGTAGCAGCCCCAACCTACAATGAAATCATCAAAAGAAATTATAATACTTCTCAAATTTTTTTTAATACGAGGTACTGACACACGGTCCAAAGAAGCATGAACACGAAGATTGACAATCATAGCTCAAGACAGCTCATGTATCATCATCAGTGTCATTTGGTCGATTGTCGTCATGCTGATTTTCGTTTGCCGAATGGATCCTTTGGCCACAAATATATGAATCTAAATTCGTTGCATTTATTTAGCTGGAAAAGTAAGTGTTAGTTTTATTAACTTGATGGAATCATTCTCGTTTCCCTAGACAAATTTCCATGTAATTTATGATTGTCCAAATGTAATGTTCAAAATCCTGCGTATTCAAAGGATTGAGGTCTTGCCTTTCTTCCTGGCTGTGCGTTCACTATAACTTAGAATTTAGTATCAATCTTCGACCAAAACGCATTTGGTCAAACGACCCACATGGGCAAAACGACATTGGACCAAACGAACCAGAACCAATGCAGCTTCAACAACATCATCAATCGAAAAAAAGGCTAAAGTTTCAAGTGATAAAATCTGCCACTTAACTTTACTGCATGTGTTGGCTTCGCTTAAACTTTGGTAGCTAAGTGTTGGAACCAGCTCTTGCAGGTTTATATTCTGTATTGCTAGCTGTCATGTGTCTAAGAACTGCAGCATCTCCACAAAAGTTATGTAAAGTGGATCAACTAGCTCATCAACAAAAAAATACATTCACAGGATATACAAGGGGACACTTACGTCGTGAAATTTGGCATTGATTTCAGGTGCATGATAACTACTAAAAAAATATGATAGAACAGCTATGAATTTCACCCTATGGTTAATAATCAGACTACCGAGTAGAGTTAGTGATAATCATTTGAAGCGATACACGCTGAGGTAGAATGGTACTTATATTCGACAAAAATCAGCACAGCATTTTGAGAATTTTCATGAAGTTTTCTAAAGCTCTATGAAGTTTCTCGAATTTCTAAGAAGATCCAAGAACTTCAACAAAGTCACTGAAGTTTCACAAATTTCCCTAAACTTAGAGATAAATGTAATAATTCCACGAATTTCTTAAAAAATCATTAAATGTCTCAAAAGTTCGCCAAATTTCTACAATTTTTTATAAAACTCCACAAAGTTTACTGGATTTATAAAACAAAATCGATGAACCTCTACAATACTCTGTGCATATCAACAAATTTTCCTGATCAACTACTGTTTCGTATAAACACATGATGTTTTCTTCCCAATAAGCATTGCAAGTTTTATCGAGGTTTTAAAGCATACTACAAGTCTAGATCATAGTCTACAGAACCCTCATAAAACCCAAATTGTTACTTGGGTTAACTTCCCTGAACTTTCGTAAAGACTTTTTTTTTTTCCTCTGTTCGGGACATAACACCACTGCGACCAGTAATTTGATCTATTGTAGTATATCCCGTGTCCTTAGTTTAGTGCATGTCGTATTACTCCATCCCTATTGAGAAATGATGAAGTATTCGGTTTTGATACAGTTGTCATTCTTGCCTTCATCGCAAGGAATCGATTCTAACTGAAAGGTTCCGCTATTTATACCCTTCGGAGTTGGAACACCCTCCAAAGGCGCGCCCCTTTATCAGTCAAAATTGGATTCCTTAACAACAAAAACAAGCTATGACACCGATAATGACCATGCATCAGAACCCTAGTCTTAACCACTTCAAACTAGGGAACAACGATTAGAAGATTAGGAATCACATAGGTGAAGACTAACTAACTCATTTTTTCCGTGTTTCAAGATCATCCTCGGTCCAGGCAACCCGAGGACTTATCACTATCAACAAGGCATAAAAAGTAACAAGGACTAAGATGTGTTCCTTTGATTACTGAAAAATCCTGTTCCCCTAGTTTGAAGAAGTTAGGACTAGGAATCGGTGGTAGATCTTACATCCCGTAACGTACCACGAAAAGGTGATCTACCCACGTTACGGGGCTTCGTAAAGACTTAGTTTAATAAATTTGCGATGGGTCCCCACACCCAGGTATGGACAATCATTCTTATCCATATGGTGAATTCACTTACCTTCATTTGCCTCTAACTGTTTCTATAAACAGAATTCGGTAACATGTATAGAGCTTGTGTAGGTTTTGATATTTACCACAACTTTTGTAAGTAACTCAAATCTGTATCTTTTATGCATGATGAACCAAAGCAAACAGAACCCACCATTTTTTTTCAGTGAATGTAAATTACATTCACTGAAAAACAATAATTAGTTCTGCCCGCTCTAGTTGGTCATGCATAAGAGATACAGATTTTAATAATCGACAAAAGTTGAAGCTTATATCAAAACCAACAAAAAAAATCCATTTAATTTTTCTGAAATATGTTGAAGAAAAAAGTTAGTGAATGTAAATTAATGCACGAAATGAATGTAAATGATTTTCCATGCCTGCCCACCTCGTTTGCAAATTTCAAACGAAGCACGGAAGACATGTGAAGACGTTTCGTCAATCTTGACGAAATAAAGCCAAAGAAGAAGAACTCAGGATTTCCTGGGAGATACACATTGAGAAATTATTATCGTTTTCAGTAATTTTTAACCAAAATCTCTACAGCTGAACGTTCGGTAAAACTTTGACCTTCATTTAAAAGCCTGTTTTTTTTTTAATAATCTAAAAACACGTTTAACCTTCTTTAAATGATCGAACCTTGATGTTTTTAAATTTTACCGAAAAGTTCAGCTGATGAAGTTTGGGGAAAAAAATACCAAAGTCAGCGATAATTTCTTAGTCTGTAGATGAATACAAACAAATTAAGGTTAGGTATTGTACACTGATCCTTCTTTTTACTAGGTTAATGATGTCCATTGGACAAATTATAGCTGTTCTATTTATATGAATTTCCATCTTTTCAAGATCATTCAAAACAGTATTCAACCATATTTCTCGATTCTGCTGGAGGAAGGCAAATCTCGCTAATGTAAACAAACCTTTTTCCGCTGATTTCTTAGAAGCCAAAACAAACTCAAACCAGGCAACTACGCCATCGAATGAAGGAAGATTTTTTCTACCCTAAAAGAGATGTATGTAATTCCCTGGGAGATTTATTGACTTCCCAAAAACCATCGAGAGAAGTAATCGTTTACCAAAGCTGTTACGCCCTTTTCCCAGCTCTGTATTGATTTACCGTCAGCGAACATTTCGTGACATTTTCAGGTGCATCGAGGAACGTGACTGTTCAACAAGAAGGCAACTAATAATGCATATCAAACTTCATGGGCATTCACTGATCGTCCAATAGTGATCCGAAAAAAACTTTTTTTTATGAAGCTTTAAAAACTGATCGCTGTTGGTCATACATGTCATCTTCACGATCCATCAAAACTCATCATGAAATAAGAAATCCATGGGGCTCCTGGTAACGAGCCGATTATGTTTCGGTTGGTTCTCATTATCGAATGATCCGTGGCGAATTCGTGAAGTTTGATATGCCTCAAATACATCCTTTCCAACGGCCACGCGAAACTTAACGACTGACATCCATGTAGTTCTTGGATTTTGAGGATACGAAAGAGCTTCGTATAAAGTCTTAACATTTCTTGGGAAATCTCTCAAAAAACTGAGAAGTTAATTAATTCAGGAGATTTTCTAAGAAAGCCCACAAAAAAAACGCTAAAATTATCCAACAAACGTCAAAACAATCCCAAAATTCCTGTGAAATTCCTTGGAACCCTAACGGCTATGTTTTTGGGCAACAACATCCACCTGAAACTTCTGGAACAGCTTGAAGATTTCTTAGACTCCTAAAAATTTCGAATTCCAAGCAAAATAGAATCTAATTGATTCAAAGTTCAAAATTTAAGATCTTCTTCGTAAGATCCGGAAATTCACAGGGATTTAAGGAATTTCAGAAGATTCAATAGTCCTCTACTGTTTTCAAAATTTTATCGAAAAAATCCATTTAGTTGATCAATACGCCCCCAGATTGTAAAGAATAGATTTTGGTTTAGAATGCTAGAATGTAAATATACTACATAAAAATCAATCAGAATTCCAGTACAGTAACTAGGTAAACATATAGGCATCAACGGTAGGCTTATAGAGGTAGGGCTTCTCAATCACCTTATTCCAATTTCCTTAAAAAAAAACAAATCCTCGGACAAAATTAAACAAATCTGAATTACCGTGTTTTTATAGGCTCATCACGTTGCTCCCTCTTCCGCTCGATATAGATCTCAGAACGTTAAGGTCGATTCGTGTGTTACGACCTTTGAAATTAGTTTCTGGAGTTCCTAGTGAGTAGAATAGTGTACCAAGCTACATTTTCCCACGCTAATAACAAAAACCAAATGTAACGAGAGACGTCGTGCAGCCGTCGCTCCCTTCTTTTAAGACTCATAATTTGGTTTCACTTTCCATTTAGATCACCCCGCACCAGCAAACTGTAGAGAACTCACTCATCCGTAGCTAGTCCTTAGATGTGTTTATTTGATAGAAACCTAGATCTTTTCACCAACGCCGTCCACATCCACATTTATGAATGCTTGTTTCAACCATTCTGCTTGTTTCTATTTTACATTAGCCGATTTTGTTCTAGCAGTAGATGTAGCATAGCGAGCGCTGTAGATGATTGATTGATGAATACGAGGTATGCTAAAATGCGTCTACCGTCTTACTCCCAAGGTCTACAAGTCGTGCTGAAGTCCATCATCAAAGCCATGGCACCATTGCTCCAGATCGGACTCTTAGTCTTGTTTGCAATCGTTATATTCGCAATTATAGGATTAGAATTTTACTCGGGTGCTTTGCACAAAAGTTGTTATAGCTTAGAAAATGCCTGTAAGTATCCATCTAGTTGATACAGTAGTGGTGGAAACTTGACCGCTGTCATAATTTGACCGGTTTCAGTTGAAATTATTGAGGAAGGTGACCTGCCGACGCCTTGTTACGACGACGACGACACGATGAACGTCGAACTGCCAGCCGGAGTGCACCTGTGCAATCACAACGAGAGTGCGTGCATCGAGCAGTGGGAGGGTCCCAACTATGGCATCACGAACTTCGACAACATCGGCTTCGCTATGTTGACCGTGTTCCAGTGCATCACGATGGAGGGTTGGACGTCAACTATGTATTGGGTAAGAAACATTCACGGCATTAGTTTTTGGCAATTATGACCGGAACTGATGCAGAACTTGATCGATTACGGCCGAAGTGGAACTGTTGATCGAAGGTTCTCTTTGCGGAATTAGCTTTTTCTCACAGACCGAAGCTCATTCGCTTTAGGAACTGCTGAGAATAGTATCAACGATGCCATCGGTTGACACTAATCTAGTACAGATAATTGAATCTAACCATACCACTGTTACTCTCTTTCAGACCAATGACGCTTTAGGCTCAACATTCAATTGGATATATTTTGTGCCTTTGATTATAATTGGTTCGTTTTTTATGCTCAACTTAGTTCTCGGTGTCCTCAGCGGGTAAGTGAAATGCTTTCAGTACAGATGCAATCCAACGTAATTTCCTTTTTTCCCATTGCAGTGAATTTGCCCGAGAGCGAGAGAAGGTCGAAAACCGTCAGGAGTTTCTGAAGCTCCGCCGGCAACAGCAGCTGGAAAAGGAGCTGAATGGCTTCGTCGAATGGATCTGTAAGGCGGAGGAGATCATCCTGGCAGAGGACCGAACCACCGAAGAGGAACGTATGTACATAATAGAAGCCCGCAAGAAGGCAGCCGCCAAGCGGAAAAAGCTGAAAAACCTCGGTAAATCCAAGTCTTCGGAAACGGATGACGAAGAAGCCACCACCGAATCGGGCGACGAAGGCATTCTGAAGAAGGAGAAGAAACCGGCCAAGTCCGGTTTCTGGCGGGCGGAGAAGCGGTTCCGCTACGGCATCCGACACACGGTCAAAACGCAATGGTTCTACTGGTTCGTGATAGTGCTGGTGTTTTTGAACACCATCTGTGTGGCAGTCGAACACTACGGGCAACCGAACTGGTTGTCGTTATTTCTATGTGAGTAGCGCATTGCCTCCGTGTACGCTCCCATTCTCGGTCAATGGATAATTGTCATCGTGAGCTAAGACAGTGTTTCACCACAGTTCTCATTGCTAGTAGCGATTTCTGTTTGCACAACCGCGTCTAGCGCGGATACTTCTTGGTTAAGAGCGTTGTTGTAGAACCGTAGCCATCGGCAAGTGGCAGTTTCCTGTTACACGCGGGTTGTCAGGTGCAAAACTCAAGCAACTTGTAAGCACGGTGATGATGTTGGCCAAAGAATATCATCACGGGAGGAGTTTTGCTTCTCACAGATTATTTTGATGACTTATTTTGCAATTTGCTGATGGTAGTATTCATTTTATGTTTCAGTATGATTTCTGTAGTTTTACGTTCCATTTTGAGCGATAGCTGTAGCCAACTTCCCCTGTAGACCGTTTCAAATTCCTGCCTGCCAATCAGAAATAGCGATTCTTAATATCCAATTCCGTTTTGAATCTTTACCTCAATCCTCTGTTCCGAATAGTTTTAGTTGAACTTTAGCAGTTTCTTACATCTACTTGCTGTAATTATAAACAAAAATATGTGTAATTCTTATAGCCTTCTCTGTGTCAATCTCTTCCCGGCAAGTAACGGAAACTCTACAGGGAACATGCTTCCTGTCTATTTTTGCGACTCACCACCATCTGTGTGATTGCTACTGTGCCAGCCTGAATAACCTTAACCCATCATTAATGCATGAAGAGAACAGCAATTATGAAACTAATTACCAATTTCCCCCCTTTTCTAGACTACGCCGAATTTGCGTTCCTAGGCTTGTTCATGTGCGAAATGTTGGTCAAAATGTACGCGCTCGGCCCTCGCATCTACTTCGAGTCGGCCTTCAACCGGTTCGATTGCATTGTTATCGCTGGTTCAATCTTCGAGGTGGTTTGGTCCGCCTACAAAGAGGGTTCCTTCGGTATTTCCGTGCTGCGAGCCCTCCGGTTGCTGCGCATCTTCAAGGTCACCAAGTATTGGTCCTCGCTCCGTAACTTGGTCATCTCTTTACTCAGTTCGATGCGTTCGATTATCTCGTTGCTGTTTTTGCTCTTTCTGTTCATACTGATATTCGCACTGCTTGGAATGCAGCTGTTCGGGGGACAGTTCATCCTACCCGAGGGCACACCACCGACTAACTTTAACACATTCACCATCGCACTGCTCACGGTGTTCCAGATCCTCACCGGGGAGGACTGGAACGAGGTCATGTATCTCGGGATAAACTCACAGGGCGGACACGAAAGTGGGATGATCTATTCGCTGTACTTCATCATCTTGACACTGTTCGGGAATTACACCCTGCTGAACGTATTCTTGGCTATCGCTGTCGACAATTTGGCGAACGCACAAGAACTAACCGCAGCAGAAGAGCAGCAGCAGGAACGAGACAAGGAGAAACAGCAGATGGAACTGGAGAAGGAGATGGAAGCACTGCAAAAGGCAAAAGATGGCACACCGACAACGGAGGAAGCGGAAGCAGAGAAGGAGAAAGAAAACAAGAAGAATGAGAACAAGAATGAAGAGGATGATGAAGAAGGAGGGGAAGGACCTAAACCGATGCTGCCGTACTCTTGCATGTTCGTGTTTTCATCGACGAATCCGTAAGTATAGATTAATGTTACATTTTACACATGAGCAGCTACAGGGTAAATAGTAAAAAAAAAAAAAAAATCTGGCTCGACCTTCCGCGATTTGTATGAAACTTTTGCTCAAATTTTGCCGCGTCTTGGGTATTTTCCAATAAATTTTAGCAAGAGAATGTCACTTCTGATCTAAATTACGTCCGGAACAAAGTTGTTGTTTTTTAAATGAAGCTTACGAAAAATTAAACTGTTGAAATATTGAAAACCAGAGGCGAGTCAACCATCAAATATGTGCGTGGGACAAGGAACTATGGCCTCATATAACTTTTTGAATATGTTTGGAATCGTGAACTGGTTCAGAAGATGTAAGAGCGGAACATGTTCTGGGTTGAAAATACCATAAAACTAAATGCAGTCTGAAATTATTAAAATTCTAGTAGAGTTCCTGGAAATACTTATAGGATTCCTCGAATTCCTCATAGATTTCTTATAATTCCTCATTGAATTCTTACAATTCCTCATAGAATTCTTAAAATGTCTTTGTGGAATTCTTACAATTCCTAATGAAATTCCTAAAATTCTTTATTGTAATTCCCAGAATTCGTTGCGTAGTTCTCCGAATTATTGACGTAATTCCTGCAATACCTAATGGAACTCCAAATGTATTTGATACTAATCTTCACGAAATTCCTACAATTAATCAAGGAATTTGGTTAGTTCTTCATTAAATCCCTTACAATTCTCCATGGAATTTCTATAATTCCTCATGGAATTCCTAGAATTCTTTATAGAATTCCTACTATTTCTCATGGAGTTCCTACAATTCCTCATGGAATTGCTACAATTGCTCGTAAGTTTCCTGCAAATCTTCATGAAATTCCTACAATTCCTCTTGGACTTTTTACAACTGTTCACAGAATTCCTTCCATCCTTTAAGGAATTCCTACAATTCCACATGGAGTTCAAAAAATTCGGTATAGAATTCTAACAAAGCCTGATGTCATTCCCATAATTCCTCATTCAACTTCGCATGGAATTCATACAATTTCTACAATTTCTCATGTAATTCCTACAATTTCTCCATAAATTCCTACAATTCCTACATTCCTACATGGAATTTCATCAATTCCTCATGGAATTCCGTCATTTCCTCATGGAATTCCTGGAATTCTTGGAATTCCTCATAGAATTCCTGGACATCCTCAAAACATTCCTTGAATCCCTGCTGGAGTTCCAGGTATTCTCCATAAAAATTCGTTATGGAATTTTTTACATACAATGATGATTTTTTTTTAATTCCTCGTTGATTTCTCATAAATTCTCATTGAATTGCTGCAATCCTTATGGCATTCCTACAAATCCTCATTGGATTCCTACAATTCCGCATGGAATTCTGACAATCCCTTATGGGTTTGTACAATTCCTCTTGAAATTCTAGAATCGGTAATTGAATTCCTACAATTCCTCATGTGACTTAAACCTAAACTGATAAAAAGATATTTTGCTGAGATACTAGAAAAATTAAATGAAGAGTTCAACAGCTGTTGAACATTTTCACGAGCTAGATTTAGTGTATGGAACTCTTCATGGAATTCCAATAGATCTCTCCAATAGATAGATGGAATTCCTACAATTCCTTATGGAATTCCTGCAATTCCTCATGGAGTTCCTACAACTCCTCATGGTATTCCTACAGTTCCGCATGGAATCCCTACAAGTCCTCATGCAATATCTGGCATTCCTCATGAAATCCCTACAATTCCCCATGAAATTCCTACAGTTCTTCATGGTATATCTAAAATTAAAAAAAAAGTCTGTTGTAATTCTTATAATTGCCCATGTATTTACTACAATTCCTCATGGAATTCAAAAAAATCTCATGGAATTCGTACAATTCCTGATGACAATCGTACAATTTATAATGGAATTCGAGCAATTCCTCGAGGATTTCTTACAATTCCTCTTGGAATTCCTACAATTTCTCATGGAATTCGTACAATTCCTCTTGGAATATCTAAAATTTCCCAAGGAATTCCAACAATTCCTCATTAAATTTCTATTATTCCTCAATGAATTCCTACAATTACTCATGAAATTCCTAAAATTCCTCATTGAGTTCCTACAATTCCTCATGATATTCTTACCATTCCTCATAGAATTCCTACAATTCATCATGGAACTCCATCAATTTTTCATGGAATTCCAACAATTTGTCATGGAATTCCTGCAATTCCTCATGGAATTCCTACAATTCTTCGTGGGATTCCTATAATTCATCATGGAATTCCTACAATTCCACATGGAATTCCTACAATTCTTCATGGAATTCTAACTATTCCTCATGGAATTTCTACAGTTCATCATGGAATTCTTACTATTCCTCAATGAATTCCTACAATTAGTCATGGTATTCCTACTATTCCTCATTGAATTCCTACAATTCCTGATGGAATTCTTACCATTCCTCAGAATTCCTACAATTCATCATGGAATTTTCTTCAATTCCTCATGGAATTTCGACAATTCATCATGGAATTCCTACAATTTCTCTTTGAACTCCTACGGGATTCCTACAATTCCTTATGGAGGTTCTACAATTTCTCATGGAATTCCTACAATTCCATATGAAAAACTTACTATTCCACATGGAATTCCTACAATTCCTCATGGTATTCCTACAATTCCTCATGGAACTCCTTCAATTCCATATGGAATTCATACAATTACACATGGAATACCTACTATTCCACATGGAATTCCTACAATTCTTAATGGAATTTCTAGAATGATTCATTAAATTTCTATAATTACTCATGGAATTTCTTTAAATTCCTCATGGAATTTCTAGAACTCCTCATGGAGTTCGCAAAATATAAAGGCAACACAATTTGAGTTACCTTCAACTACGCAACGGGTGCTGTACAATCCCACCTTTACTGATTTCACTAAGGGTGATCCGATTCCAGAGAACGTCAGAGCAAAATCTGATCAGCTTGGCTTTCCGTTTGAATCCTTTATTTATGTACTCGAATCGAACATTATTAGGATATGGCTTCTAAGTATCTTTATTAAGTATAAAGACCATCCGTGTTACGAGAAAAGTCACCTGTGATGAAGATTTGACTTTAAAGTTTAAATCGGTGTTCAAATCGTGGAGTTCCCCTGATGCTTTTTTACTAAGTCATAGAAGTTTCTAATAGGGGAAATGGAGGTAATGTCGGCCTAAATGCCCCTAATTTTGGACCATATATAAATTCAGCAACGGCAAATTTTCAATAGCGACCATAAATATCCATTAGTACCGTCTCTATGACGCGTTCATCTAGATAAATTTGATATATAACAGATTTTTAGCGATGGGTCCAATCTTAGATCCATAGGCCAACATTACAGCCATTTCATCTATTTATATTTCTTAGCAAATGGAGATTTTTGCAATGGCTCTTTTCCTCCATTTCCAAGTAACAATGTTGGTTTTATGAGGGTTCTGTAGACCATGAATTAGACTTGTAGAATGCTTTAAAACCTCTATAAAACTTGCAATGTTACTTGGGTTCAGTCCTATAAATTTCCCGTCAAATTTGTGTACGGAGTTGAACTCGAATTTCCCTCCGTATACTTTGACGTCTTTGGTACTTGTCCTCCAAAATCCTGGTAGATTTTTAATTTTATTTTGTTCATTTATTTGGAAGGCTTAATCGCGTTTGCTTTACGGAGCCAATAATTCATTGTTCATGGCTTGTAACAAAATTCACTTATTTCTAGGTCTAGTAGGAGTTGGACCGAATACTCGTGGTTTACCCGGGGTTAGAATTGTTGAAGGATAGAATCTTTGTTAGAACATATGCTTTATGTGCAAAGCCTGAGGATATACAATGAATTAAACAATTTTCAACGCAAGAAACAAGTGCCAGCACTGCATAACTTACGAAGCAAATCGCTAAGAACTGATCAAAACCATCTTCCTTTCCCCCTTTCTTAGAATGCGTCGAGCAGCCCATTGGGCTGTCAACCTGCGGTACTTCGATTTCTTCATCATGATCGTCATTTCGCTGTCCTCCATTGCACTGGCTGCTGAAGATCCGGTTCAGGAGGACGCTCCCCGAAACATCGTGCTCAACAATCTGGATTATGCCTTCACATGCGTCTTCACGATCGAACTGTTACTCAAGGTCGTCGATTTGGGTGTTATTCTCCACCCGGGGAGCTACCTGCGCGAGATTTGGAACATCATGGACGCCGTCGTGGTGGGCTGTGCCGTCATCAGTATCGGGTTCGACATCAGCGGCAGTGATGCCGGCGCGGACCTGTCAACAATCAAATCACTGCGAGTGCTGCGAGTGCTACGTCCACTGAAAACAATCAAACGAGTGCCGAAACTGAAAGCGGTGTTCGATTGCGTCGTCGGATCTCTGAAGAACGTCATCAACATTCTGATCGTGTACATTCTGTTTCAGTTCATCTTTGCCGTCATTGCGGTGCAGCTGTTCAACGGCAAGTTCTTCTACTGTAGCGACGATAGCAAACACAATAGCGTTGACTGCCAGTAAGTATCGACTCCCTTTTGTCAGATCAATGTTCTGCTAAATCCTTCCAATGTTACAGAGGTTCATACTTCGTGTTCGACGAAGTGGATGGAATGCCAAAAAAGGCCGATCGGGAATGGAAGACACAGTATTTCCACTACGACAACGTGGCTACCGCTATGCTTACGTTGTTCGCAGTGCAGACCGGAGAGGGATGGCCACAGTAAGTAATCTTGGATTGCTTCGCTCTTAAAATCCGACTCACCTTGTTTCCGGTTTCCGCAGAGTTCTTCAAAACTCAATGGCAGCTACCTACGAGGATCGGGGACCAATTCAAAACTTTCGCATCGAAATGTCCATCTTCTACGTTGTCTACTTTGTGGTGTTTCCGTTCTTCTTCGTGAACATTTTCGTTGCCTTGATTATCATCACTTTCCAGGAGCAAGGCGAAGCGGAACTGCAGGACGGTGAAATCGATAAGAATCAGGTAGAGGGCGTTCGCTTGGTCCTGAACCTAAATTCACACCTGTATTATTTTCCCAAACAGAAATCCTGCATCGATTTCACGATCGGAGCCCGGCCGCTGGAGCGGTACATCCCAACCAAGCATTCCGGCTTCAAGTACACCGTGTGGCGAATCATCGTATCGGCGCCGTTCGAGTATTTCATCATGTCACTGATTGTGTTCAACACCCTACTGCTGATGTTGAAGGTTTGTTTTCATATGGTGCACGTGCTCCATTTGGGGTACTCATGCGCAATGACGGATTTCTCATCCACCTATTTACTCTTTCTCTTGCACAGTGCCACGACCAGAACAAAAAGCTGGAGAACTTTATGAAGTATCTCAACATGATTTTCACCGGAATGTTCAGCGTGGAAACGGTGCTCAAAATAATCGGCTTTGGCGCGAGGGTGAGTTACCAACTGTCTTCCGATGAGTGACCTGCTAGCCTATAGTACCAATTCTTCTCTTCCGATTCGGTTTCAGAATTTCTTCAAGGATGCGTGGAACGTGTTCGATTTGATCACCGTCATCGGTAGTATCGTCGATGCTCTTATTCTTCTTCTTTGGGTAATAGATTTAGCATTACATTCAAAGGTTGTGAATCACATTTATCCAAACCCACAGGAAAATTCCTTCAACGTCGGATTCTTGCGTCTGTTCCGTGCGGCCCGTTTGATTAAGCTGCTCCGTCAGGGTGACACCATCCGCATTCTGCTGTGGACCTTTGTTCAATCCTTTAAAGCACTGCCTTATGTATGTTTGCTGATTGCGATGCTGTTCTTTATCTATGCAATCATCGGAATGCAGGTTAGTGCTGTGGACCAACGGTAATTGGGATGCGGTGTTGAACTAATGCATAATACATTGTTTCAGGTCTTTGGTAATATAGAATTAGATCCGGACACTGCCATCAGTCGTCACAACAATTTCAGATCGTTCTTGGACGGTCTGATGTTACTGTTTAGGTAAGTTGTGGCAGAACGTTGATGGGGAAAATTGAAGTTTCAATTGTGTTTCATTCCTGTAAGGAGAGATCGTCTGGAAGCACGCGCACAGCTTAAAAAAAGATTGTCCTGTGCGCTATTAGTCTCCTGCACTCGATTTTCTTGAGAGCAAGTGACTAGAGAGAGCACGCAAAAAATTGAGAGACGTTGACAGACGTCTCAAATCTCAAATGAAGCACAAAGAGAGCTCCAGATAAACACAAGATAAACTCATTCCATATAAACCACTTTGAAAACGGAACTGGTTCACGGGTTGGGGAATGTTACCCGTGCCATTTGTTGTGGAGAATTATTAGTGATACAACTGACCTCACGACCGAAATGCCTCTTAAGGTCCAAATGGAAGAAATGACAGATTGAAGTCAGTCAGAAATATTGGATTCATTCGAGATATTAATAGTTTGGTATTGTTACTTATATAAAGTTTATTTTGCATGATTCCAACTGTATTTCGAGCTTGTCCAGACTTTGGCCCCCCACGGTACTAGTGAATACAACCTTTATTGGCCTTATTAAGTACGCAACAACTAGCACTATGTCACTGCTAACAACTCAACAACAGCGACTTTCAGGAACAAAACTATTGAGATAGAAAACATAAACTCGGATCAACTTAGATTAGGAAAGGAGTTTAAAATTAACACATTGCTGCTTTCAGATGTGCAACGGGAGAATCCTGGCCGAACATCATGTTGGCATGTCTCAAAGGACGACCCTGCGACCTCCGCGCAAACAAACCGAACGAAACCTGTGGATCGACGCTAGCCTACGGATATTTTGTATCCTTCATCTTTTTCTGTTCGTTCTTGGTAATCCATCACGGAATGAGGCCGTATAAATGACTTCTCTAACCCTGCGAATACTTCCAGATGTTGAATCTGTTCGTCGCTGTCATCATGGACAACTTTGACTACCTGACGCGAGACTCCAGTATTCTGGGTGCGCATCATCTGGACGAATTCGTGAGGATATGGGCTGAGTATGACCCGTCGGCTTCGTAAGTTTCAATTCACAAAACGCACACTGAATTCGATAGCTGACAATCTCTTTTTCATTTTAGGGGGAAGCTACATTTTACAGAAATGTTCGACATGTTGAAAAACATGGCACCACCGCTTGGTTTTGGGAACAAATGTCCGAATAGACTTGCCTACAAGAAGCTTACCCGGATGAACATGCCTCTCGATGAGGAGGGACGAGTCAGTTTTACCACGACACTGTTTGCGTTAATTCGGGAAAATCTGAGCATCAAGATGCGACCTGGTATGCAGATTGAATGCCTTTTGGGAACGGCTTGAGATGATCCCTCTTCTACATTTCCTCTTACAGCGGAAGAAATGGATCAAGCTGATTCGGAACTACGTGGAACGATCAAGCAAATTTGGCCGATCCAGGCGAAGAAGATGATCGACCTGTTGGTACCTCCGAAGGATATGCTAAACACGGGGAAGATGACGGTCGGGAAGATCTACGCTGGAATACTGCTGCTGGAGACGTGGCGAAACAACAAGTGTGTGCAGCTGGAATGTGATGCGCCAGATTTGCAGGACAGGAAAAGTCACGAGATTCAGGAAGCCTACATCGATGATGGTCATCTGCACCCCGGTCACGACCCGCGCGGTGCCCATCGGCGGTCACCTAGCATACAGTATGCCTATCGAGAGTTCGTTTATATTTTCTTTTGAATGATAAATCTCCGATTTATCCTCTCGTTGCAGACGTGGTTCCGCGCTGGATCGATCACCTAGTCCAAGGCACCTGCACCACGACATTGGCTTCTCGGAGACGGTGTCCAACGTGGTGGAAATTGCACGTAGGGATCACCTAATTGGTAGGCACCACTATGGGCGCTATAGATATGATAGAGGTATTTTTGTTACGCATTTTGCACATTTCACATACTCCATTCCCCGCCATGGTACCTATATTTATTTTCCTGATTGAGATAAGGATGGAAGGAGGATCGTGGAAACGGTTGATTTCCGAGTTCGAATATTTCAACCCGATGTCCGTGGCTTGGACACGTGAAGCAGTAAGAGTGAAGGAGATTTGCAGCTTTGTATCAGGAATTAAATAACAATTGAATCATGTGTCCCGATTTCACTCATTACAAAGCTGTAGCTACTCGCATGGTTTTGCTAGCAGTTGATAGATTTTTACTCATAATGTGGTGTAGAGAGGCTTGTGATGGACATGGTTAAGTGAACATAGCGTTGTATTCGTTTCGTTTGAATTCAAGATGCGATTCTCGCTCCAGCCAGGAAAAAAATCTTGAAATGCTCTTTCTCCGTCGGCTTACTGGACGTTGTGTGTTGTCTGTTGTCAAAATTGAAGTGTTTCGTCGGGGCAACGTCTGGTTTAAGATGATATCATTGAACACGTCCTTATTCCAACGCAACGAATTTCAGACACTTACCGAACAATGTGCATCATCGAGCTACCATAATCCAAGCAACACCACTTGTAAGTTTTTTCCAATTCAATAGTTTGTAGCAGTCCCGTTTTCCTAGAGTTTTTCGTCCAATAACTAGCTAGCTCGATTCAAATTTATTCCAACACAGCATGTCCAATAGCTACACTGATCAATTCAAAACAGTTAGAGTTACGGCGCCCTAGTGCTTAGATATATAGCATTTCGTCCCAAGATTTACACTTCTCCCATAGTGAGCAGCATGTCCCCCCTCTCACACAATTCGGCTACTCTGAATTGAAGCGTGCTTAGGAATATCCTCACAAGCGCTAACGCAACTTTTCAAGAAAATAAATATAGAAACACAAATACAGTACACGAACACAATGTACAAGATTTGAAATTTTGAAAACATAAAGGTTCCTGGTCCGTAGCCACCAGTCCGGCCCGTTCGCCGTCACCCACGCGGCTGGACACGCAGATCAGTGCGCACCATCGGTACAACCGAAGGATACACCCGTACGGAACGACCAGTCTGTGCCAGCGGTCGCGATCACCCAGTCCGGCTCGACTGCAGGAGCTTAGGGAAAGAGAACGCGAACGCTACCGGGAGGAAGTTGGTAAGCTCGATTGGGAAGTCCTCCTTCAAGACTCGAAAATCTAGCACTGCTTCTGTATTTCAGTGTCCCGCCCGTACATCCAGCACACCTATCCAGTATTACAATCACACAGAGATTTCGGAAGAAGACTGCCACCAAGACCAATAAAACCAACAACACTACAGTTAAAGTCTACTAATATTAATTTCCCGCGGTTAAACACTAGTCCTACGCATGTAAGTAGATCCAACTGCCATCTGCTGGTAGCCTCAGAATCTAACCTCAATCTTTCACCAGCAGCAGCAAAGTCTTCATCTATCGCTAAACACTCACTCGCTGCCATACGGTGTTCATTCGTTGCCCAACTCGCGAGGTGAGATTTCGCGCGATCCACGCATCTACCATCACACGGAAAGCGAACGGGATCGGGAACGGGAACGGTTGCGGGAGCGTGAACGGGACTACGGATCTCGGTACGTGTTCCGGGATACCGAGCGGGAGCTGTTCGAGATCGAGCGAGAGCTGGAGCGGGCGCGGGACTCCGCCCGGGACACCGATTACGAGAGGTAGGAAAAGGAATGTTTTTTGGGGGTCCTGGATATTTCTACTCTTGAGGGAGGAGGACGGGGTGGCATTGCTGAAGCGTTGCAACGATTTTTTTTTTTTACTGTACAATTGATAAAATCCAAGTATGTAGGTAGAATTCCTGAATAATTTCCATTACCTTAATTGTTCGAGCATTATTAGAAGACACTAAAAATGTCTTCACATGAACTACGCAAATCTTTCATAGGTAAGCAAATTGAGGTAATGGAATGAAAAGGAAATTATTAACTATGTTTTCGTTTTTATTTTGTTTGTATCGCCATTTCATACAAAAATGTATAGCCTGTGTCAGAGCCAAGGTAGAATTTGAAGTTTTCACGATTAGATCTCAGCAGTCACTTCATGATTTTATCACTAATTATCACACTTATGATTAAATCACTAATCGAATTTACCGGGTGTCTAGACTGAAGTATTTGGAAAATAGATTTGTTTACTATATTCTGGAGACAACAATTTGTTTACTATATTCTGGAGACAGACTTGGATGACTAAAAGTCTTAGCAGTTTTACTAATACTCTAGCTACCATCAGACTCTGGCGAATACGGGATGGAGCACCGGAAGATCCGGAACATCCGTAAAAGTCGTCATTTCATGAAACTTAGAGCTCTAGATCATAAAGCTCCTTGTTTTTTTCGAAACCACTCATAGACATCTTATCAGAATAAATTCGGAATTGTGACCAGAAAATAGACGCTGAGGACTACGGGATGGTCCACCGGAAGATCCAGAACATCCGTAAAAGTGGTCAGTTCGTGTAACTGATCGTAGAACTCCGTGTTATTTTTTTTCGAAACCACTCATAAACGTCTTATCAGAATTAATTCGGAGTTGTGACTGGAATATGGACTCTAGGGACTACGGGATGGTCCACCGGAAAATCCAGAACATGCGTAAAAGTCGTCAATTCATGAAACTGATCCCAGAGCTACGTGATTTTTGCGAAAACCACTCATAAACATCTTATCAGAATTAAATCGGAGTTGTTACCATAATATGGACTCGGGGCCATAGAATTGTAAAATTCCTCGTCTTCCAGGTTATAGAATATGATTGCACTCGCCACACTTTAAAACTAATGCAAAAATGGCACAGGCATCGAAAGCTCTCAATTAATAACTGTGAGTTGAGGGCACGCAATAAGCTAATCTTTCATAAGCAATAAGCTTGAAATGCAATGAAGAAGAAGATGAAGAAGTAGGACTACGGGACGGTCCACCGGAAGTCCGAAACATCCATAAAAGAGGTCAATTCATCAATCAGATCCTAGAGCTCAGTTTTTTTTTTTTCAAGCCTGTTAAAGACGTCGTATCAGAATGAATTTGGATTTGGACTAATAGACGCCTTGTCAGAATAAATTTGGAGTTGTCACCAGAATATGGATCCTGGGGACCACGGGATGGTACACTGGAAGATCAGGAACATCCGTAAAAGTGGTCAATTCATGAAACTAATCCTAGAGCTCAGTGATTTTTTTTTTCGAAACCTCTGAAAGACGTCTTATCAGAATGAATTTAGAGTTGTGACCGGATTATAGACCCTGTAAACCACTGGATGGTCCACCAAAAGATCCAAAACATCCACAAAACTGGTAAATTCATGAAACTTATCCTAGACCACTGCGATGTTTTCGAAACCTTTCTTAGACGTCTTATCCGCATGAATTTGGAGTTATGGATGGAATGTGGACACTGAGAGCCACGGGGTGGTTCACTAGAAGATCTGGAACATTCAGAACAGAGTTCAATTAATCAAACTGATCTTAGAGCTGCGCGATCTTTTCGAATCCACTCATAGACAACTCATCAAAATGAATTCGAAGTTATGACCGGAATGCGGACCCTGGAGACCATGGGATAGTCCATCGAAAGATTCGGATCATCTGTAAAAATAATTAATTTATAAAACTTATCCTAGAGGTCCGTGGATTATTCGAAACCACTCTCAGACGTCGTATCAGATTTGATTTGGAGTTATGACCGGAACATGGACACTGGGAGCCACGGGGTGGTCTACTAGAAGATCCGGAGCATCCAGAAAAATGGTCAGTACATTAAACTGATCTTAGAGCTCCACGGATTTTTCGAAACCACTCTTAGACATCTTATAAGAATGAATTCGGTGTTGTGACCGGAATATGAATCATCAACATCCACGTATTTTTCAAAAAAAGACACTCGCTAAAAATGAGGTACCTGCGCGTTACCGTTGATAACCTGAAACAGGCAAACCGGATTGTTGCCTGTGAACTTTTTTCGATCGAATATCGAGCCTACGTCCCCAGTTGTGACGTAGAAATTGAAGGAGTGGTCACCGAATCGAGTCTGACTTGTGAGGATTTCCTGCAAGTCGAATCTTTCGGCATTTTCAAAAACCGTGCCCTCCCGAAAGTAAAGATACTGGACTGCATTCAACTGCAGTCAGTGTCGCTCATAGGCACAAACAAAAAGTATACCCTCTCAGATTCGTTTCGTGTGACCTTTTCAGGATCGGCATTACCTGACTACGTCACAATTGGGAAGGTTCGACTACCTGTACGCTTGTTTGTACCGAGGGTAATGAATTTCTTGAAATGCAAACAACTAGGTCACACCGCGGACTTTTGTTCCAACAAACCGCGGTGCAATCAATGTGGGGAGGAGCATACGGAGGGTCCTTGTCATGCTACACCAAAATGCGTTTACTGTAAGGATGCTCCGCATGCTCTGAGTGATTGCTCGAAGTACAAACAGCAGGGAGAAAAACTAAAGCGGTCTTAGCAAGCTCGCTCTAAGCGCTCGTCAGCAGAAATTTTGAAAACGACCGCTTCATCTTCCCAACCCACCCCTAAAAGCAACAACACATTCCACCTCCTGCCAGATGATGATAAGGGCTCTAACTCAGAGGTTGGTGAGAGTATTTAACGGCAACACGAGGAAGCGACCAAAAACAAGCGTCACCCAAAAACCTCGTAAGGCCTCTCGTACGGACTCTCAACCTACCTTGACAAATTTAAGAGGTAGCGGAAATGTAGCAAAACCCCCACCACCGGGATTTAAAGTTTGTAATTTTAACAAAGACTTTCCGCCACTTCCGGGATCATCTAAAACCCTAGATATCCCAGTTTTCAGCCAGAAAAAAAACTGAATAATCAGCAAGAACATGATGCCATGTTCACGTTTTCTGGAATTGTGGAGAGCATCTTCAATATATTTAACGTCTCTGACTCAACGAGGAACATTATTAATTTAGTGCTTCCAATTGTGAAAACTCTTTTGAAGCAACTAGCTTCTAGGTGGTCCTTCCTTGCATCGATCATATCTTTTGATGGATAATTTTCCGAATGAGGTCGGAGATATGATCTCTCTTCTTCAGTGGAACTGTAGAAGTCTTATACCGAAACTTGACGCATTCAAATTTTTAGTTCACAACTCACTTTGTGACGCATATGCTCTTTTTGAAACATGGCTTTCTTCAGACACCGATCTCCCTTTCCACGATTTTAACATTATTCGCAGATCAGCAGATTCGTATGGAGGGGTGCTTCTAGGGATTAATAAGCTCCATTCCTTTTATAGAATCGATCTGCCTTCCGTGAAAGGCATTGAAGTTGTCGCGTGTCAGGTAAATATTCGAGGTAAAAGCCTCAGTATTGCCTCAGTATATTTTCCTCCGAGAACTGCGATTTCTCGCCAAGGTCTCTCAGATATCTGCTCAGTTTTATCTGAGCCTCGGTTGATCTTAGGAGATTTTAACTCTCACGGTACAGGCTGGGGGGAACTGTACGACGACAACCGCTCAATCTTGATATACGACATGTGCGACATCTTCAAAATGACAATTCTGAACACCGGGGAAGCAACACGAGTAGCCAAACCTCCAGCAAGAGTAAGCAGATTAGACCTCTCACTTTGTTCGAGTTCACTATCGTTGGATTGCTCGTGGAAAGTAATCCAAGATCCCTACGGTAGTGATCATTTGCCAATCAAAATTTCTATTACCAATGGTTCATCTTCCACTCGCTCGGTTGACATCGCGTACGACCTCACGAAAAACGTTGACTGGAAAAAATTTGCGGCCACGGTTCTCGGTGGTATTGAATCGGTTGAGATAATCCCTCCGCTGGATGAGTACTCCATTTTATCGTGACTTATCGTTGACTGCGCTCTTCAAGCACAGACGAAACGCGTTCCGGGTGTTTCCGTTCTCAAACGACCTCTCACTCCGTGGTGGGATAAGGATTGCACCAACGCGAACAGCTAGAAGTCCGCCGCGTTTAAACGCTTCCGCAAACACGGTAAGGTCGGGAATTTCGAGTGGTACACCGACCTCGAGAAAACTTTCAAGGGCTTGATTAAAGCCAAGAAACGGTTCGTCGATGGTTTGTCGCGAGAGACTTCCATGAGAACACTCTGGAATGTCGGCAGGAGATTGCGAAACGCGTCATCACCGGTCAACGAAGACAAGGAGTACTCAGACAGTTGGATATTCACCTTCGCGCGGAAAGTTTTCCCGGATTCAGTGTCGGTTCAAACCAACGTTCGTGATCGTCCGCCGGATAATAACGAAATAGATTCCCCGTTTTCGATAGAGGAATTCTCACTTGCGCTTCTCTCATGTAACAACTCAGCTCCAGGAATGGATATAATCAAGTTCAACTTGCTCAAAAATGTCCCAGACGTCGTGAAGAGACGCTTGTTGAACTCATTCAATCAATTTCTGGAGCACAACATTGTTCCGGATGACTGGAGGCAAGTAAGTGTTATCGCCATTAGAAAACCCGGTGAGCCCGCGTCGGATTATAACTCGTACCATCCCATCGCAATGCTGTCCTGTATACGGAAATTGTTGGAGAAAATGATTCTTTTTCGTCTAGACAAATGGGTCGAGTCGAATGGTTCACTTTCAGATACGCAATTTGGATTTCGGAGAGGCAAAGGAACGAGCGACTGTCTTGCGTTGCTTTCAACTGAAATTCA